CCCCCCCCCCCCCCCCCCAAATCCTTGCTTCTTAGGTAATTCCTGGACCAATTCAGCTACAATATCACTCTCCAACACTATCAGATGGAACCCCCGCCCCCCCCAACTTAACCCCTTAGTGCCCCACACTCCCAGGATCCCAAGACATTATAGAAAACAGCTAAAGGAAGGATAATTTTAGGGCAGGGCCGGGCAATTATTTTGGGCAGAGGGCTGCTTACTGAGTTTTGGCAAGCCATTGAGGGTCTCATGACAGGCAGGCAGGGGCAGATTAATATTACTTTTCTACATTTTTTAGGGGCCCTGCGGGCCGAACTGAATGGCCTGGTGGTTTGCATCTGGCCCACGGGCTGCATTTTGCCCACCCCTGCCTTAGGGTTAAGACTGATCTGGGGTCTTGGGATGCTGGCTTCAGTTACCCAGGTCTGCCACCAGGCTCCCTGCATGATCTTAATAACAGATCTCCCTCTCCCCCATTGCACAATCAAGATACGACTTTGCTTCTTCTGTTTAGGCTGCAAATTCTTTGGAGTAAAAACTATGTGTGGCTAGCTATGTGCAGACTATGTGTCCCTAGTGCTGAGGGCTCCAGATCCTGCTCAGGACCCTGGGGTGCTGCTGCAATGCGACTGACAAAATAAAAGATGCAGGAAATGTTGGCGCCAACCCATGAACAAATAATTTTAATGGTTTTCAGCAGACTGCAGCTTCTAGGAGCTCCATTGTCTCCTCTCTTTGAAGTTGGACAGAAACAGTAAACACAACAAATATATGATACAACCCATCACAGCTGGATTAAAAAAATACACAAAAAATATAATACATAAAAAAAAAATGGTTTTACATTGTGGACTGACACAGCTCTACAAATGGTGACCGTAACCCTGGTAAGCTTTACAAAGTCTTTAAAAAAATAAAACAGTACTTCATGTGAAATTCATAAATACACTGGGCCAGAGGGGAGGGCTGGGGGTTACTTACTGACAAGAGTCTGTCTCTAGGTACCTGTTTTTAAGTCCCGTTAAGAGAGATGCAAGCACTCGGCCTCCTCACTGCTGTCCTACGGGGTCAGCAGTGGCAGCGGTGCTAACGGGCAGCGCGCGTGTGTATTTGTGTCCGCAAACCAGAGGTCAGAGGGTGTGTGGGAAGCTTTGCAACCACAGAACGAAGCAGGGCATCTACAGCTAGACGCACGGAGATGGCAAGGGAGGGGAGGCCGGAGGGTACAGCTGAGGGAAGGCTAAGAAACACAAAACAGTCCAGTTCACGCAGGGCTCGGGCCAAGAATACGCGGAGGGCTGGGTTTGCGGGGTTTCTAAATCCATCCTCGGCCAGTGGAGCAAACTCTTCCCCTCAGCGAATGGACTGGAGCCTGCCCCAGGAGTGTAGACAGCACCCCCTTCTCTCGAAGGCAGGGTTAGGAAGGGGAGGAGAAGGGAGATCCGGTGTGTCTGTGTGCTGAGGGGAATACTTGGAAAAGGAGGGAGGTTCCCAGAGTTTTTGATCAGTGAGTGAAACAAAAACGGAGAAACAAACAAAACATGCTACATATAAAATAATCCAGCCAGGTCTCCCCGCCGCTGGGGTACAGGCACTGCAAGAGATGCTACCTGGGGTTTCAAAAATCCCCCCTCCCCACCACCGGACCGCATCTCCCCTCTGCCGCCTCTCTATCACTGCCCGACTGGCTCCGAGCTGGTTAGGAAGGACGTTCAGCCTACAGCTAGAGAGCAGGCTTTAATGGATCTCAGCCGGTCAGATGGCAGCTTATCCAGCCTGAGTCACCCAGCCACAAATGACTGAGTTTTCTTAAGAGCCTAAGACAGAGCCACGTGCCACGCCGGGGGAGAAGTGTTATTCCCAACATCGCTGTTGCCACCCCAGGTAGCACAGACAGGGAACCTGGGAGGTTTGCTAGCTGGCAATTGAGGCTCAGAATTATTTGAGGATGGAGGGGTTCATCCCAAGACGAGAGCTGAAGTCCCGGGAGTCTCCGTGTGCCTTTCAGGACTGCTCTGAATTCCACGTATCGTCGGGTCTTGGAAGCTCAGCACCCACCGTTCGCTCCCCAGGGCTGCCACGCGTGCTCTGCAGTAGGGTACATTTCCTGAGCTATTGGGCCTCGCTGCTTTATCAATTTGGTTCTGACGTACCATCCCGTCGATGTTACCTTCATCTACTCGGGCTCGCACATGCATGGGAGCGTCCGTCTAAGCTTCCCGGGGAGGGGGTTCCAGGAAGTTCATGGCGGAGATCACTTGCAGCGTGATCAGAATAGTTAAATACGTTGTACAAGAAAAAAACTTGGACCAATATAAAGGCTCCTTCAGGGCTGGAAGACCTGCTGGCTTCTCCAGGATTCCCTCCTGACTGTTTCACCCCATGCTGGATTCACATGAAACAGCACAGGGGACCACTGTACGACTCAGAAGCTGACGGGGGGGGTGGGGGACACGACACTCTTGTCCGTCACAGCTTGGCTGCCTTCACACCGAGCTGTCTACAGCCTGTGCAGGTGGCCACCCAGACAATGTCCGGGCATCCAGCCAGCCGGAAGAAAATGCTAACCAGTCACTGCGGCAAGCAAAAGAGAACCCAA